TGCCCCTCACACTTTACAGTGCTTCATACCAAAACGTGCTTTTACACTGCTTATACCATGTTCACAGGATTATTTTTCAATTCACTTGAACCCAGAGAGAATTCTAAGTAACCACATTTGTCTGGCGAAATATTAAGAATATTTGAACTTATCACCTTTGTCGAAAATGGAGGGAAGAAAAGGGAGCAAACAATTGAATCAAATTTTTAAAGCATCTGTAAAAAAAAAAAATACCACTTGGTAAATCTCATTCAGGTACAAGTGGGAGAATAAACTGTCAATGCATACGAAGAGAACCAACATAACTCTCCCCTCATCAAAGTGCTTGTAATCCTTCTAAATATTCAAACACATGCGATGCGTGCGCAACTGTGGAGCAAGCAGGCTTAGAATCGAAGGATTGTTGACAACATGTCAACTATATTTCCTCTACAAATTTTTTGTGAACATTTTTTTTAAATGCACAATGAGCACTTCTCTCAAATACATCGTTATAGTTGTTGGTTAGCTAGCTAGCGAATGTGTCATATTAGCATAGACATGACAAGAGTCAAAACAAGACATGGTATTAAGGCCAGGACGATACCAGTATCGAGATATTTTTTCCATGGCAAAAATGACAACACGAAGCAGACCAAACTTTTTGATCCTTAAAAACCTGCTGCATGTAAAATATTGTGTGCTATAGCTTGGAAAATAAATGTGACTCTAGATGACAACATAATTATGTTTGTTTCCAACATTAAGGCTGTTTTCCTAAATAATTTAATTCCACTTCGTGGTTTGTTTCCTTGCCACAATACTAACGAGTATTGCGAGGCCCTACATGATATCAATAACAAGATATGAGCTGAAACGAGCCACCTATGATTCCCCACATGGCAGCTTCTTGTCATAGTTGCTAGCTATCTGACTATCCAGAATCATAACGCACAGACTTCTGCCCTATCGACTCGCGCACATCGTTCATGACATTGTCACATCGTTCGTGACGTCGTCAGCTAACCTGTCTATATGCAAATCAACACAGACAGACCATGAATTGGCCATCTGTTGACCAGCACTAACTGTTGGTTTCCAAGCATCAACAGTGAATCACGTGCTGTACGCCTAATTATCCCATTATCCAAAATAATACATTGAGAAGATTGAAATACTGCTTTGTGGACATGTGAAATTAATGTAGGAGAATATAACACATTAGATCTGGTAAAAGATAATACAAAAAAAAAAAAAAAAACACATGTTTTGTTTGTATTATCTTTTACCAGATCTAATGTGTTATAAAAATGTATCAATTGACCAATTCGGCACATTTGGTCAGACTTGATACAAAATAGTCCAGTATTGCAATGCTTCACTGGATCAATCTGAAACTTTGCAACACACTCCCAGGAATGCAAGAGAAAGGCCACAATATAATATTGCAGTTTAGGTGCAATTTAGATTCTGGCCACTAGATGGCAGCAGTCTGTGTGCAAAGTTTCAGATTGATCCAGTGAAGCATTGCAATACTGGACTATTTTGTATCAAGTCTGCCCAAATGTGCCGAATTGGTCAATTTATACATTTTCAAGTACATAACTATAGAGAACATACAAAAATGATGTGGTAATACAAAATGTAAGTTTACACACTCCCAGGAATGTCATACATGATGGATCATTAGCTTATACACTAACTTTCACACATCTAGATGGCCGGGCGGGGTGGGTGTGGAGCCAGAGACAGCAGGGGTTCAAACTGTCGAACCCAGATCCTACATGAATATAAAAATTGATTTTATTAACTATGCTACATTTTATCTCTGGGACCCTTAGGATGACAAATCAGAGCAAGATTACTGAATGTAAGTAGATTATTTACCTTCAGAGGTGAATGTATCAAACCAGTTGCCATGATACGTTTTTTGTTGTTGTGCACTCTCCTCAAACAATAGCATGGTCTTTTTTCACTGTAATAGCTACTGTAAATTGGACAGTGCAGTTAGACTAACAAGAATTTAAGCTTTCTGCCCATATAAGACATGTCTATGTACTGGAAAGCTTGCTGTTACTTACAACAGTCATGCTAATCACATTAGCGCACGTTAGCTCAACCGTCCCGTATACGGAACACCGATCCCATAGAGGTTAAAGCAACGCATTGGATTCGACAACACTTCCGGTAGTTATTCACCCCAACGCTAGGCATGACATTTTCATGGAATCCAATGTGCCAGACACACCTATTTGAACATGGCAGGTGACCCAATTACTGAGCTGAAACAATTAACCACTTCCGTCAGCTGGACCAATAGAAAACAAGAAACACTTAATAATGAACACATGACTGCAATTGGTTGAATATTATGGAAAATACTGTATCTAGAAACTGGAATGTTTGGTAAATGACTAAATAAAATAAGGAAATACGAACACAACTTGCTCTATAAATACTTAGAATAAATACACTTTAAAATGAATGTCTTTAGTGAAGGCCACTCCTTCACACGCACATACCGTAAAAGCCTCCCACAGATTCAAACACATGCTATACTGCAAATCAACACAACAGAAGACACAGAGACCTTGAAATGGTCATAATTTGTTGACCAGCACGAGCTGTTGCTTTCCAGACATCATTAGTGAATCATATAGTGGTACGCATATCTAGCCTGGTCCCCGATCTGTTTGTGCTGTTTAGAAAATTCCTATGGTCATTGTCACGCCAGTGTTTGTCAAGACAGCACAAACAGATCTGGGACCAGGCTAACACATAGCCAGTAGGATACTGGTTAATTTGGCCTATTCCCTACATAGTGCACTAGTTTTGACCAGAGCCCTATGGGCCTGTCAAAAGTAGTGCACTATATAGGGAAAAGGGTGGCATTTGGGACTCAAACTCAATGCTGTTGTTTATCTCAGGGCCCAGAGCAGCCAAAGGGTGAAGCCTCTTCCCAGCATATAACCCTTGGTTCCTCTGTAATCAGCAAATCGCTGGGTGTGTCCGCATTTCTCCCACCACTAATTTCATTTCTCAGGCCACAGAGAGCTAGGCTAAACCTCAGCGCGGAGGAAACTCCACTCGGCTGCGCTCTGTCCTAGATTACAGAGATTGATAGAAACTGAATGGTTTCGAAGGGAAATTACACATGATTTTCATGTAAGAGCAGTTATGACAGAGACAATGGTGATTCACATTGTTGCACATGGGGGATGGAACACTAACACTGAAAAATATGTAGAATTAAACAGACTTGCCAATCCCAACCAGGTCATTATTGAAATAAAAATGCTTACTAACAGGCAAAATAAAGGGTAAAGGCCCACCTCAGAGGAAGTTGCCACACCTATTTCGAGTAATTCCTGTCCTAGAGCATATAGGTTCCACCTCGAAAATTGACGCAGGCTGCTAATACATATTTAGCAATTGGGGCTGGGAACATTGTGGTGATTTCCACATGTCGCAGGGAAATAACAACAAATAGGGTACTGACTGACAGTGTCAGTGTAACTAGCTAGCATGCTAACCTTAGCTAGCTAATGAAAGTTATGTGAGTACCATTTCAGTTAAGACAGGCAGAAAAAGACTACCCGCCTACCTATCAAGAAATTAGTCTCAGCTAAACCGTGCCTATACAAACTATTGACATGTTGAGGGCTGACGTTTGTCTGACTCTTGCCGTTTGATAATTCCAGTGAAACTGTGTCGGATTCCAGACATCATTAATATTTGGACATGCACACGGACATGATCAAATAGCTATATTCTTTATTCTCTCTGTTATCATTTCAGCAAGCTGGCTAGCTATACGCTGAGTGTACAAAACATTAGGAACACCTGCTCTTTCCATGACATAGACTGACCAGGTGAATCAAGGTGAAAGCTATGATCCCTTATTGATGTCACTTGTTAAATCCACTTCAATTAGTGTAGATGAAGCGGAGGAGACAGGTTAAAGAAGGACTTTTAAGCCTTGAGACAATTGAGACATGGATTGCATATGTGTGCCAATTAGAGGGTGAATGGGCAAGACAAAAAATGTAAGTGCCTTTGAACAGAGTATGGTAGTAGGTGCCAGGCGCACCGGTTTGAGTGTGTCAAGAACTGCAACGCTGCTGGGTTTTTCATGCTCAACAGTTTCCCGCGCACAAGGGTGTCGAAAGCATTCAACAGGGATGCTTGAGGCTCTTCTGAGCACAAAAGGGGGTGCAAATCAATATTAGGAAGGTGTTCCTAATGTTTTGTACACTCAGCATATAAGCTCCATTAATATCAATAGCATAACTATTGAAGCAATGGGCGAGTTAATTTTGCATGGCCCGGTGCCCCGGGTCGGTGGAGATTTGTCTTTAGGATCAATGGAATGGTCGAAAATGAGCAAACCCTGCACACCCGGGGCACCGGGCCATGCAAAACGAATTTTCCTAAAATGGGGGGTGCGGGGTTCTAAAATGCAATCATGTCACGCAATTTTACAATTCATAAAATTGTCATATACTTTTTCTTTTTTTCGTGTTCGTGAGAGTCTCATCTTTCCATAGAGGGGTCATAATAGTTTGTAGGCTAAACGATACAGAAGTTTTCGGGATGTCTCATGGTCTGACAAACACTGCTCTAGCTCTGTCACCTTTCACCGGAGATGCATAATAATAATATGCCATTTAGCAGACGCTTTAACCAAAGCGACTTACAGTCATGTGCGCATACATTTTTACGTATGGGTTGTCCCGGGGATCGAACCCACTACCCTAGCGTTACAAGCGCCATGCTCTACCAATTGAGCTACAGAGGACCACATCTCTAGCTTATACTGATGGTTTTTGATGGGGATGTTTTTATTGTGCTAATTAGATTTTTGAGGGGGCGCGGACATCGACTCTAGGGGTTAAATACAAATAGTACATAGCCATACAATATGACATGCCATAATGTCGTACCACGTACCGTAACAAACTATACTACCATCATCATACAATAGAACTTTGCTTAGAATTAGATTGTCTGTTATACTCATTTTAATTATATGGGGTAATGTTACTGTACCGTCTGCAGCAGCACAGCACTGGGTATCCCATTCCAGTCTCTGTGTCCATCTCGCTGCCCTCCTCACTAGGGGGAAAATCCTTCTGCTCTCTCAGGAACCTCTGCAGGTCTGTCATGGGGAAACCATTCTTCTGGTAGTTCTGTCGGTAGGGTAGAATAAAAGTACTATGAGACAACTGAATTCACATTGGGGGGAATTCCGACCCGAGTTAAGCATGCGTAAATGGAACGTACAGTGCCTTCAAAAGGTATTCACACCCCTTGACTTTTTCCACATTTCGTTGTGTTACAGCCTGAATTTAAAATGGATTAAATATAGATTTTTTTTGTCACTGGCTTACACACAATACCCCATAATGTAAAAGTGGAATTATATTTTTAGAAATGTTTACAAGTTAATTACAAATGAAAAGCTGAAATGTCTTGAGTCATTAAGTATTCAATCGCGTTGAAATGGCAAGCTTAAATAAGTTCAAGAGTAGAAATGTGCTTAACAAGTCACATAATAAGTTGCATGGACTCACTCTGTGTGCAATAATAGTGTTTAACATGATTTTTTAATGACTACCACATCTCTGTACCCCACACATACAATCATTTCTTCATGTATTTTTTTCCTTCGGGTATGTTGGTTAGGGGCAGTGAATTTCAAACACAGATTCAACCACAAAGACCAGAGAGGTTTTCCAATGCCTCACAAATAAGGGTACCCATTGGTAGATGGGTAAAAAAAAAGCTGACTTTAAATAGCCCGTTGGGCATGGTGAAGTTATTAATTACACTTTGGATGGTGCATCAATACATCCAGTCACTACAAAGATAGAGGCGTCCTTCCTAACTCAGTTGCCGGAGAATAAGGAAACCACTCAGGGATTTCACCATGAGGCCAATGGTGACTTTAAAACAGTTACAGGGTTTAATGGCTGTGATAGGAGAAAACTGACCTAATTGACAGTGAAAAGAAGCAAGCCTGTACAGAATAAAATTATTCCAAAACATGCGTCCTGTTTGCAATAAGGCACTAAAGTAAAACTGCAAAGAAATTGGCAAAGAAATGTACTTTATATCCTGAATACAAAGTCTTATGTTTGGGGCAAATCCAAAACAACACATTACTGAGTACTACTTTCCATATGTTCAAACATAGTGTTGGCTGCATCATGTTATGGGTATGCTTGTCATCGTTAAGGACTGGGGAGTTTTTCAGGATAAAAAATGTATGGAATGGAGCTAAGCACATGCAAAATCCTAGAGGCAAACTTTGTTCAGTCTGCTTTCCACCAGACACTGGGAGATTAATTCACCTTTCAGCAGGACAATAACCTAAAACACAAGTGTTCCTGAGTGGCCCAGTTACAGTTTTGACTTAAATCGGCTTGAAAATCTATAGCAAGACATGAAAATGGCTGTCTAGCAATGATCAAAACCAACTTGACAGAGCTTGAAGAATTTTAAAAAGAATAATGTGCAAATATTGTACAATCCAGGTGTGCAAAGCTATTAGAGACTTACCCAGAAAGACTCACAGCTGTAATTACTGCCAAAGGTGATTCTAACATGTATTGAGTCATGCGTTTGAATACTTATCTAATCAAGATACAGTATATTAGTGTTCTATTTTTTTTTATTACAAATGTTAGAATTATTCTTCCACTTTGACATTAGACTATTTTTTGTAGATTGTTGACAAGAAAAAGACAATTAAACCCATTTTAATTCCACTTTGTAACACAAAATGTGGAAAAAGTCAAGATGTGTGAATACTTCCTGAAGGCACTGTAATTGCCTTTTTAATTCACTTTTCTGTCTACGCATATTCTGACCTTGAACTTAAGCAAGCATGCTATTCACCCGCTATTCATTTGAGGTGAAGATCAAATACATTAAGGTGTTGCGTAGGTGTGTCTACAGATACGTCGTATTCTGACCTTGACTTAATTCCCTCATAATTCCACCACCTTTACACACGATGAAACAATAAGGTCGAGCAACCTGTGGACTACATCTACTTTATTTTTCCCGATAGAAGTAACACTCCATGCACTGTAATTTACAACTTGATAAGAGCGATTGATAAGAGCTACGTAAATGAGTAAGTCGTTTGCATAAGGGGATTGTAAATATAAATGACAATTGTTTAGATCTATTTTACCTTATGATCGCTGGAGACAAATGTGAAACCAGTGATATGGCAGCAAACTGAAGCCTATCAACATATTACCTCTTCCACAGTGAAGTTTATGAAATGCTGGCCTTACACCAAATGAAATTTGGAGACCCAAGCTATAGGCTTCTGTAGCCATATGCAAATGACAGTATAGCGCCAAATCTACCGAGTTGATTTATGATTTCTAGAATGTTTTAATTATATGCCCAGACTTTTCAGTAAAAAAAAAAAAAAATTGGTATCGATATTAAGGTGTGCTTAATATTTCGTACACAGTGTACGTAGCAGTTTAAACCTGGAGGCTGGCGCACGGTTCACGACGACTGGACCGTTGTCATCACAGTTCCATGATTAGTGAGGATTATTAGGGAAGATTTATAGGACTACTGTTCAACCCCTATTGTACACTTTTCTCACCTTCCAATATTTCAATGATATGGCAACTTTCAGGATGAATCAAACAACTTTATTTTTGATTCACCAATTTATTTTGAACGTGAATGCTCTCCAAACCCATTTAAAAATGTTTTATTCATAAATACTTTCCTAACCCTAATAATATAAAATATCAGAGTTTCTTTTAATCTACCAATTAGTGCTGAAAAGGAGATGAATATGCATGTATTTACATAGCTTTCTTTCATTGATCCCTAATATTCTGAATCGTTTTCTTCATGTATTATAGTGAGTCTCTCGACAAATTTCAAATTAAAAGGTACACCAAATTTAAAGGGTTAGCTTTAGATGAATGTACTGAAACCCCTATTGAATGAAAACTCCATGAGAAAATCTGTTGGCAAGCAAGTGGGAGGTGTTTTCAGCGGTTTAATAAAATTAGTCCAGCGCGGCAAGGTAAACATGCCTGCAAAGCCCGTTTTGCACCTGTATAAGGTAAATCTGAATACCAACTACTGAGAAGTGCATAGGAAAAGCGTGCGTAGGAAAGGCGTACATTTACTAAGTCTGAATCGGGCCCATAGAAAAAACATAAAAGTCTGAATATCAAATAATGCCATAATGGACAAAATCTCTAATTCCAATTCCGATTCCAATTCCATTAACACATGAAAGGGTCCTCAGTTGATTAATCTTTCAATGTATGTTGTTGCTTATTATCATCACACATAATGTACAATATGTGTTCATGTACCATTTTGTTTTGAAGGGGCACTGATGGCTACATTCAATACCTTTGAATGAATAATGTGTAATAATGTGCCGTGCCCCTCATTTTCACTAGCCATAAAACATCTCTGATATGGACCGTTGACACATGTAACCATCCTCAAATCTCAATTAGCTGTTTTTGGACAGTAGTTATAGATTTGGGGTGATATTGTCTGGGATATACACCTGATACCTAGGTCTGTGGGTCATGATCATCAAGGCACACCTTAGAAAAATGTTTCCAAATGTTTTGCAACGGATTACAAAATTAACGTTCCTTATTGGGCAAGTTCAGATAGTACCTCCCCATTTCACTCCGTTTCAGATCATTGTCTTCCGTTTTGTGCCAACTGAACACGACCCAGCACATGTATGACTGAGTACCTTGATGGTGTCGTAGGCGTCTGTGATGAGGGCGATGAAGAGCGAGAGCACCATATAGATGAAGAGGGAAATGAAGGAGTAGATGTAGACGCGGCTGAACAGCCACACCAGGCTGTTTTTGTCCTTCAGCTGTGCGAAGGTGGTGTACATGTCGTCACCGTTGACCAGCGAGAACAGGCACTCGGCCACCCGACTCAGGCCCTCAAACTGAGATGAAGTGGGAAAAAGAGAAGGGCGTAGGGGGAGGAGAAAGAAAGCAAGAGATGAGAGAGAGAAAGAGAGAGAGAGAGAGAGAGAGAGGGGAGGGGAGCAAGTACAGAGTGAGAGAGGGCTCACTACAAACAAAGAGCGATAGCATCTAAGCACTCAGACAGACAGTATAGATCTAGGTAGGGTAGGGGACGTGTGGGAGGGCAGCTCTAACATCCCTTGTTTATTGCAGATGGTAAACAATGTCTAAATGAGTTGATGTTATGGGGACTTCCCTGGCTGCAGTGTATGGTTGTGTCCCAAAAGGCACCCTATTTCCTACATAATGCACTACTTTTGACCAGGGCCCATCGTTGTCCAGGGTAGGGGAGGGAATGGCCGGCAGGGATGTAGCTCAGTTGATAGAGCATGGCGTTTGCAACGCCTGGGTTTTGGGTTCGATTCCCACAGGGGGTATGAAAGAAAATTATGTATGTACTAACTGTAAGTCGCTCTGGATAAGAGCGTCTGCTAAATGACTTAAATTTTATGAATACATAAAAAAATATATTCATTAAAAAATGAATTTGATTCCATGTTGCGTTTATATTTTTGTTCAGTATATTAACTACTGTGTCAGCAAACTAACTATCCACTACCCTAACCTTAACCCTTACCCCAACCCTAAACCTAATCCCCTGAACCTAACCCTAATCCCAGCAAAGTGTTGCATGCAAATTGCTATTGATAGTTTGAACTACTAACTATGTGTAGACCATCTATAGGAGACAATCCAAATAAAGTGGGGCTGTGTAGTCTGATACAGGTTAAAGTTAGCTTGAGGATTCTGCAGTCCACCATGTGAGCTCTTGTTTACAACTGCAATGTTTCTCGTCTTCCGCAAATAATTTTTCTTGGAACGGAACGATCACTAAATACACTTGTGCCCTTCCTTGCTAGTATTTAGGTTTAAGTAAACTAGAGAACCAACAACAAACAGCAACATGTATACATACTGCCATCTTGTGGTTGTAAATGGATAACAACACATCAAATTGTATGGCTACAGCGTAAACATGAAGCCTATTTACATTACTAGCGCTTGACTTTGGCCGGTACACACTGATACAGAGGACCATCACTTTTAGTTGTGTACAGTTCAGGAAATGGCTCTAAGATATGAAGCCCGGTACTGTAGAATTAAAATGAGTATCGGCATTGCCATTCCCAGTCAGTACCTTTTCATGGTAAGGGCCAAGTACGATCCAGCCACAAAAGGTGTACCCCAGGTAGATCATGCCAGCACAGCAACAGAAGCGGATCACATTGGGGAAGGCAGTCTTCATGGTCAGGATGAGCACCTGGAACACACACACACACACACACACACACACACACATATGTGTTCAGGCATGTGCACACGGTGCACACACACACTCTGCGTAAAATCTGTGTTTAATCAGTGTTTAAGATAGTGTTCCATTAGTGTTCCATTAGTTGATGAATCATCCTTGTTTTTAACCACTTTCGTTAGGTATAGATGTATTTTCCAATGTATTTTTTATGTAAGTCTGAGTTTGCATATGGCCGAACAGGACTAGTCTATTCATACTGGATAATTATCTTTGAATGCACTAAATAAATAAAATGTATTTGATCAAACTTACGTTGTACTTCTGGAAGTAGCCCAGGTACCTGATCACTCCCACCCACACCATCAGCGTAGAAGTCCCCAGAAAGATGCTGCACACATCATAGCTGGTAAGACTCTAGACGGGAGAGAGGAGTTCATTTTCCTTATACCAACTGGGGGTAAATGGTTAACATGCAGGTCATAAAAATCTGACTCGAAAGTCAAACTCAGGTTAGAGTAAATAGTCCCTGGGAGTTTTACAATGTCTAGATTCAACCATCTTGCTCCAAAGTCCACAGCCCATTGATTCTGTGCCCAGGCAATGGGGAGTTTTTAGTTCTCAACCTCTCTTCTAGAGTTATTTTTATTTCTCAATTTCTTCTGTATTATCAAAGGGTAATTGACTAGGTTTAAATGGCAACCCATTTCTTCCACATGTTCAAAACTAATATGATAGATAGGAAGATTTTATGATTAGACATCAATACTTTATTGCCATTATTAAATATGTAAAATATTGCAGTAAGCAGGAGAATTCAAATACATTTCCAAAAACAAATTCAACATATTTTGTAAAACATACAAATAAATGTGTATCAGCTAAAACTCCTTCAAAGAGTTTGAACATTTGACTTGAGAATTACCTTTGCTTGTATTTCCATCTTCAATATGGATCCTACTATGGCCATAGCATCACTGACAATCACCAAAACATACCAGCCATTTAAAAACTCCTTTTGGTCAGTCTCGCATACCCTGTGATTATAATTCTCGCGGAAGAACCTGGAAAATCTCTGGAAAAAAAGGGAATAAATTCATGAGGCCAGGAATTGAAAGATCAGTGTATACTGTAATAAGCCACACAAATGGTTATAATAGCTCATCTTATGAAGTTTTCATAAAACTGGCAACATGTCACAAGCAAGTCCATGTAACTTTTGACCGCATTTATAATGAATACTATAGGATGCACATTGTCATGGTGAAATTGTGAGTGACACTTCTGGAGACTCACATACACAGAAAGAGACCGAGGGCTCTATTTTCGGGTGGCGCTAATAAGGCGGAAGTGTCCAATGCAAAACTGGCTCACTGGCATTTTACGCCCCTTACGCCAGTTTCGGCAATTTACCTACAGTGAGGGAAAAAAGTATTTGATCCCCTGCTGATTTTGTACGTTTGCCCACTGACAAATACATGATCAGTCTATAATTTTAATGGTAGGTTTATTTGAACAGTGAGAGACAGAATAACAACAAAGAAATCCAGAAAAACGCATGTCAAAAATGTTATAAATTGATTTGCATTTTAATGAGGGAAATAAGTATTTGACCCCTCTGCAAAACATGACTTAGTACTTGGTTGCAAAACCCTTGTTGGCAATCACAGGGGTCAGACGTTTCTTGTAGTTGGCCACCAGGTTTGCACACATCTCAGGAGGGATTTTGTCCCACTACTCTTTGCAGATCTTCTCCAAGTCATTAAGGTTTCGAGGCTGACGTTTGGCAACTCGAACCTTCAGCTCCCTCCACAGATTTTCTATGGTATTAAGGTCTGGAGACCTTAATGTGCTTCTTCTTGAGCCACTCCTTTGTTGCCTTGGCTGTGTGTTTTGGGTCATTGTCATGCTGGAATACCCATCCACGGCCCATTTTCAATGCCCTGGCTGAGGGAAGGAGGTTCTCACCCAAGATTTGACGGTACATGGCGCCGTCCATCGTCCCTTTGATGCGGTGAAGTTGTCCTGTCCCCTTAGCAGAAAAACACCCCCAAAGCATAATGTTTCCACCTCCATGTTTGACGGAGGGGATGGTGTTCTTGGGGTCATAGGCAGCATTCCTCCTCCTCCAAACACGGCGAGTTGAGTTGATGCCAAAGAGCTCGATTTTGGTCTCATCTGACCACAACTCTTTCACCCAGTTCTCCTCTGAATCATTCAGATGTTCATTGGCAAACTTCAGACGGGCCTGTATATGTGCTTTCTTGAGCAGGGGGACCTTGCGGGCGCTGCAGGATTTCAGTCCTTCACGGCGTAGTGTGTTACCAATTGTTTTCTTGGTGACTATGGTCCCAGCTGCCTTGAGATCATTGACAAGATCCTCCTGTGTAGTTCTGGTCTGATTCCTCACCGTTCTCATGATCATTGCAACTCCACGAGGTGAGATCTTGCATGGAGCCCCAGGCCGAGGCAGATTGACAGTTCTTTTGTGTTTCTTCCATTTGCGAATAATCGCACCAACTGTTGTCACCTTCTCACCAAGCTGCTTGGCAATGGTCTTGTAGCCCATTCCAGCCTTGTGGAGGTCTACAATCTTGTCCCTGACGTCCTTGGAGAGCTCTTTGGTCTTGGCCATGGTGGAGAGTTTGCAATCTGATTGATTGCTTCTGTGGACAGGTGTCTTTTATACAGGTAACAAGCTGAGATTAGGAGCACTCCCTTTAAGAGTGTGCTCCTAATCTCAGCTCGTTACCTGTATAAAAGACACCTGGGAGCCAGAAATCTTTCTGATTGAGAGGGGGTCAAATACTTATTTCCCTAATTAAAATGCAAATCAATTTATAACATTTTTGACATGCGTTTTTCTGGATTTTGTTGTTGTTATTCTGTCTCTCACTGTTCAAATAAACCTACCATTAAAATTATAGACTGATAATTTTTTTGTCAGTGGGCAAACATACAAAATCAGTAGGGGATCAAATACTTATTTCCCTCACTGTAGCTAACATCAGCTCACTTGTGCTGAGGTGGGAGGGGTGGCAATATTTGAGGTGTCCTTAAAAGGGAATTTCATCCTGGGGGAATCTGGGCTTGTTTTCATCATGTCCAAGGCATTTCTAGGTCAGTGAGATGTGTTTCACACATCAATGCCCAGGAGGAAGGCACGTCTGGGCTTCGTGCACTAAATTATACACCCTATGACGGCTTCCGGTGTATTGATGGGGGGGAGATCTGAAAATAAATGTAGTCCTGCTTTGTGGCATTTCACGAAGACTCTATGTGATCGCACTATACGTTTTTGTGCGTGTGTATGGCTGTCCTTGTTCGATAAAGCCATTAAACATATTTCAATGATGTTCCTATCAGCGGAGTAATTTCTAAATATACAAGCTGACACATTTTAACTCCTGTGGGGCGGTGCCTCATGCTCTGGCCCTCTCCCTCCCCCAAGGCGGTCTTTTTAAAAGGGAGGCGGACTCTAACAACACAATCCTTTGGGCAAAACTGAAAGAACTGACCAGAACGCAATGGCTTCAAGTGATTCAACTCATCAACATGAATTTGACGATGGAGCATTTCTTTAGCTACATGGTGACATTCAACCATACATGTTTCAACTGGAATATAGCGAAGAGGATTCAAAACAAAGAGTTGGATTTAGCTAGAAGCTCGGCTACAGCTGACACCAGGACCGATAACAAATACGGAGGCTAAGTAGACACGAGGCTGTAATTGCTGCCAAAGGTGCTTCAACAAAGTACACTGCTGCTACTCACTGTTTATTATCTATGCATAGTCACTTTACCCTTACCTACATTTACGTCATGTAGCGGATGCTCTTATCCAGAGCGACTTACAGTTAGTGAATACATTTTTTTTTATACTGGCCCCCCGTGGGAATCGAACCCACAACCCTGGCGTTGCAAACGCCATGCTCTATCAACTGAGCTACATCCCTGCCGGCCATTCCCTCCCCCCTCCCTGGACGACGCTGGGCCAATTGTGCGCCGCCCCATGGGTCTCCCGGTCGAACCAGGATCTCTAGTGGCACAGCTAGCGCTGCGATGCAGTGCCTTAGACCACTGCGCCACTCGGGAGGACACATGTACAAATTACCTCGACTAACCTTTACCCCCACACATTGACTCGGTACCAGTATATTAGCTTCGTTATTGTTATTTTATTGTGTTAACTTGTATTTTATTTTTTACTTTAGTATATTTAGTAAATATTTTCTTAACTATTTCTTGAACTGCATGGTTGGTTAAGGGCTTGTAAGTAAGCATTTCACGGTAAGGTCTACACCTGTTGTATTCGGCGCATGTGACAAATAACATTTCATTTAATTTTAATTTTATTTGAGTAAAGGGTCTGAATACTTATGTAAATGTAATATTTCAGTTTTTAATTTATAATACATTTGCAAAAATGTCTAAAAAACAGTTTTTGCTTTGTCATTATGGGGTACTGTGTGTAGATTGATGAGGGGGGAAAACTATTTAATCAATTTTAGAATACGGCTGTAACGTAACAAAATGTGGAAAAAGTCAAGGGGTATGAATACTTTCCGAATGCACTGTACATAACTATTCAGACCCTTTAGTCAGTACTTTATTGAAGCACCTTGGGCAGCGATTACAGCCTCAGTTCTTCTTGGGTATGATGCTACAAGCTTGGCACACCTGTATTTGGGGAGTTTATCCTATTCTTCTCTGCAGATCCTCTCAAGCTCTGTCAGGTTGGATGGGGAGCGTCGCTGCACAGCTATTTTCAGGTCTCACCAGAGATGTTCAATCGGGTTCAAGTCCGGGCTCTGGCTGGGCCACTCAAGGACATTCAGAGGCTTGTCACGAAGCCACTTCTGCATTGTCTTGGCTGTGTGCTTAGGGTCGTTGTCCTGTTGGAAGGTGAACCTTCGCCCCATTCTGAGGTCCTGAGCGCTCTGGAGCAGGTTTTCATCAAGGATCTCTCTGTCCTTTGCTCCATTAATCTTTCCCTCAATCCTGACTAGTCTCCCAGTCCCTGCCGCGAAAAACATCCCCACAGCATGATGCTGCCACCACCATCTTTCACCGTAGGGATGGTGCCAGGTTTCCTCCAGTCATTTGGCAATCAGGCCAAAGAGTTCAATCTTGGTTTCATCAGACCAGAGAATCTTGTTTCTCATGGTCTGAACGTCCTTTAGGTGCCTTTTGGCAAACTCAAAGCGGGCTGTCGTGCCTTTTACTGAGGAGTTGCTTCCGTCTGGCCACTCTACCATAAAGACCTGATTGGTGGAGTGCTGCAGAGATGGTTGTCCTTCTGGAAGGTTCTCCCATCTCCACAGAGGAACTCTGGAGCTCTGTCAGAGTGACCATTGGGTACCCTTGCCCAGATCTGTGCCTTGACACAATCCTGTCTCGGAGACCCTACGGACAATTCCTTCGACTTCATGGCTTGGTTTTTGCTCTGACATGCACTTTATATAGACAGGTGTGTGCCTTTCCAAATCATATCCAATCAATTGAATTTACCACAGGTGGACTCCAATCAAGTTGTAGAAAAAAAACTATTTAATCTATTTTAGAATAAGGCTGTAACGTAACAAAATGTGGAAAAAGGGATTGGAGTGGAGTGACCAAAAAAAGGTTTTACAATCGGAGATTTACATTTACGTCATTTAGCAGACGCTCTTATCCAGAGCGACTTACAAATTGGTGCATTCACCTTATAGCCAGTGGGATAACCACTTTACAATATGTTTTTTCTTTTTTTTGGGGGGGGTGGGGTAAGGGGGGTAGAAGGATTACTTTATCCTATCCCCGGTATTCCTTAAAGAGGTGGGGTTTCAAGTGACTCCGGAAGGTGGTGAGTGACTCCGCTGTCCTGGCGTCGTCAGGGAGCTTGTTCCACTATTGGGGTGCCAGAGCAGCGAACAGTTTTGACTGGGCTGAGCGGGAACTGTGCTTCCGCAGAGCTAGGGGGGCCAGCAGGCCAGAGGTGGATGAACGCAATGCCCTTGTTTGGGTGTAGGGACTGATCAGAGCCTGAAGGTACGGAGGTGCCGTTCCCCTCACAGCTCCGTAGGCAAGCACC